TTAAAGACGATCCTCCCCGCAATCAGTTCTGCATCACAGCAAGCTGGAGCTGTTTGTGTGTGGGCGCCCTTCAAAGTCTTTGTTGCAGGCTGTTGTTCAGGTTGGAGGAAGACTTTTGGGACCGTGTGTCATTTGTGGATTCTGCTCAAACTTCACTATTGCTGTGTGAGCAGCTGTTCCACTGCTCCGAAAGGTCCTGCTTGTTGTTTTATATTCGCTGAGCTGAATCGGCAGGTAAATGAAAAGTTCATTTTGCAGACATTTAAAGTGGAGACGGACAGATGTTATTGATTTGCAGATTTAACGAGAGAGCCTTAACACAGAATAGTCTGGATACAAAGTTGGCTTGTGTTCCAACACAATAGTTAAAAAAAGATACTCCCAGCACTGTCTGCAGCCAAGCAGCAACCAGCCAGCATTTAAAATGGAAGCCCAATGCAGACATGCAAAAAAAATAAACCCTTTGCAGTTCCTCAAATGTCCACTTGAGGCTGGGTTGAAAAGCCAAAAAAATCCCCAGATTCAGTCTGTTTCATAACCATTTCAAAACTCCTCACAGGAGCTTTACAATTTCCCTCAATTTAAAAAGATAAAAATCATTGAAGTTCTAGTGAAAGCTTTTAAAGATATTGTAACAATTTCCCTTGTCCAAGTTCCTTACACTGAATTCATTAAACCAGAGAGTTCATTATCAAAGACACAAGAAGCTGTCTTTGTTGCACCCTGCTTCTTCACCAGCTGTGGATGTTGTGACGCTCTTCACAGCTTGTTCTTTAACGAGATCCACCAGCATTTTTCTTTTTTTCTTTTTCCTCATATTGTGATCCAGGCGTGGGGATGAACTCTCTCCGTACTTGAGAGTTGATCTTGACTCTTAGCAGTAATGGGGAGAGTGTCATCTGCATATTTAATGACATGGGAGAGCGTATGTACACACTCCAGTGCTGCTTCTACCTACAAAAAAAAAAAAAACAGGCCTGTTGGTGTGCAGTTTTTTGCAGAGGCTGTTAAAGTACCTACTGTTGACCCTGCAATCTTTTCTGTTAAGAAGTCAGGTACCCACAGGAACAGCTGGTGTCAGAGATGGAAACAGGAGAGCACTTTGTCTGCCAGGATACGAGGTTCCAGCTTGCTGAAAGGGAATTTGGCAAACATCACCCTGGATTCTACTTTCAGTCCCTCCAAATCACTACAAGTCGTCTCTCTCCGTGTGAAGCAGCCCGGGCTGGCACCCTAAGGCTTTACCAAATTAGTCCAAGCAGCGAGGGGCTCTTTCCCCCTCATTTCTTTTAGATTTCCACTAAAAGCTATGAATACATTGAACCGACATGATAGACCGCACTGACTCGTTGCTTTTAATTTTGCATGTGAAGGCACGGTTGCTGTACTTGAGGAAAATTTTAATGTTTGTGAGTTCACTGAGAGGTGACGTCTCACCGTGCTGCTGCGTTTTGTCACCAGTTCCAGGAACAAAAGTGTGTTTGTGTGTAAGAGGCGGTGATAAAAAAAACCAAGGAAGAAAGAAAGAGGGTGTCTGATAGAGCCATCACTCAGCCCTTTGGCAGTGATATCTTGTTTTCCTCTCAGACTCTGCTAGATGTATCTGTGCCTCTTATATGTTATTGCCGGGCTGAAGCGCTGGTTGTAGATCACTGTGAAAACTGTGAAGCACAGGGCATGGCGGTGTCCTGAGTGACAGCTGAGAAGCATATTGAGGAGCAATATTGGTCTTCAGTATGTCCTGGAAGCATGCAGATGAACTAATAAAAGCCCTGCACCGGCTGAAAATTATGCAAATGACTGGAGAATTTCAGAACGGCAAACACAAAAACCCACGGCACCAACTTCATATTCTGCTGTAACGCTGAGTAATAAAAAAAAGTTCTCTATAGGAGTTCCAAAAAAGAAAATTATCTTCATAACAATGATAAATATTTGGCATTTCACATGAATATGGATGACCTCACAGCCTATAAAAAAACAGAAACAACAGTCGCTTTGACTGCACTTGGCGTACACATGAGGTAGAACCTGAAATGAACACCCACTCCCTACTGCAGAGCATTGTTTGGGGGTTCAATCCCCAGCTCCTGCAGCTACATGTCCGATGTGTCCTTGGGCAAGACACTTAACCCCAGGTTGCCCCCTCAGCTTCCTCAGTGGCATATGATTGGATTAATTAATACTGATGGACACTTACTTTAGCAGCCTCTACCATCAGTGTGTGAAAAGAACTATACAAGCTCAAGTCCATGTACCATTTAACCAATGGGCATCTTTTATTTACCTCCAAAGATATAGCTATATCCAATAGGCTATGATTGTTGGTGGTAGCTTGGCTAGCAGCCTCCTCAGTGCACCCCCCCCCCCCCCATGGGTTTTTTGCCTAGGGCCCCAACAGACTCTAGAATCACCACTGATATTTATATAAATAAAAAAAGAAGATAGCACACTCATATTTCTTGGCAATATCAGTCTGCTGTATACTGCAGCCACTTGGTTTTAGCCTCATCTGACATGCTAACACTGTGACTTATCATCTCATTGCCCAGCCTGTACTTAAAAGTTTGCAGTGCTGGAGGGGCATCCTTAAGTCCTTGCTCTGTGTTGCACTTTGTGATCTATATGCAGCAATTTCAAGAGCAAACACAACCTTATGCTGTTCCCAGACACGGTTATGTGCATGTGCTCCCCCCCCCCAGAGTCACATGTCCCACCATTAGCCTGAGGCTAGATCACAACCGAGAGCATTTCACTGCATCTCACCTAATCTGTCTGCTGCAAATCTTCCCCCACCTGTTAAATAAAAAATGAAAAAAGTCAACAGAAGCGAACTCTGAAATAAAGCCTCTAATTCTCTCCTAAATATCACCGCTGCTGTTTGTTGGAGGTATTAGTCGCACTGGCATTAAGCTGTCATGTTGGCAAGCATTAGTATAATACCTGATCAATTAACAAATAAGTTATTACTTAGAGGCCCGTGGCTTTGTTTGACAGCTGTGTGTTTGTGTATTCATGTTCCCATCCATCATCTTCTGGATGCGTCCTCACGCCTATGTTTTGCATCTATCACAAACACAAACACGGCGTGTCAATGCTCTGTGCGCAAAAAACAAATTGGAGCGCTCTGTACAAGAAAAGCTTGCCTGGGGCTAGTCATTTTGAAATTAAAAGCATGTCTCTTTGTTCAGCCTCAGTTCCAGGAACGAGGGGATGTGAACGTGAATGTGAATGTGTCGCATGAGAGAGGTGGAGAGAGGAGACTGGAGCGAGCACTGTGATTTTCACAGCCGGGGAATCACATCGAGTCTTTTATCTATTCCCCTCAATCAGGAGACATCCGGCAGGAAAGGTAGGAGGATTAGATTAGCCGGAGAGAGAGACAGAGAGAGTGGGTTCTCTAATCCTGATGGGGTTTTCAGAGGTACACCCATCACTGTGGAGAAACAGTCTGTGTGCAGGGTGGGGAGTTGGGGCGGGTGCGGGACGACAAGCTTCTCTAAACCCTTCACACTTGCATGAAAGAGGTTCCAGCAAACGAGGGGATTAGTCAGAGTGTAATTACACTTGCCGCGGCCTCGGAAGTAGCAAAACGTGCGTCGACTGGTACACACCTCAGACGGGGAACAGGGGGTAACACCAGTTAATGTGTTTTCTGCAAAAGTCTTCCTCTGAATGAACCGTCTGAAGTGAATTCCAACCGATCAAAGGAGTCTTTATGAGCATGTGGTAGATCTGCCCGATCGTCATTATCATGCCTCTCTGTCTTGTTCAGGTTCAGTGATATCTTCTTCTAGTCATACTTTGTCTTTTTTCATTTGTTTCAGGATAAAGGATACCTGTGCATACCACTTTCTTTGACACAATTATTCTTTAAAAAAAAAAAGGGGTCTTAAAAATATCGGCATGTCATCTGCATAGCAAATTATAACCTCCGGCTGAACATCCCTGCCGATATGACAGGCTGATCAGATGACTGTTTCATAACTATCAAGCAATACTAGCTGTATTCAGATGATCTAATGCCTACACTACACACTCCTGTACTGGGTTTCTCTTGTGGTTGATCTGCTGCAATCAGAATCGGAATAAGAATCAGTGTTTATTGCAAAGTACATTTACACATACAAGGAATTTGTCTTGGTTCGGTCAATAGGTTTAAGTGTTTGGAGGATTGTAGACATAACATGGAGGCTCCTTGAAAGTGTTCTTAAAATCAGGGTATGAACTCAAAATGTATTCTCACAATGTTCTGGATAGATTTTCCTAATGAGGAGATCTGCAAAATGATTGCTGGTGTACTGGGTCAAATGGATTTTCTCACTGGGAGCTGAAAAGTTTGCCTCTCTCTTTTTTTTCTGCAGTTATAATTTTTTTTGTCCTGCCCCTGTATTGGATTTTGCTTGGTTACTTGTGCCCACACTATAGTTTTTTTCTCTTAGTAGCATTTCATCCCGACAAAAACTTATTCATATTTAAGGTTAAGTCCAACAGCCCAGCCGTATCCTGAGGACGTTTTCTGTCAATGAAGATGATGCTACTTTTTACCCACACAGTGAATATAAACAACATATTTTTTTGAAGCATTGCAGTTGAGATTACACAAACCTTGATGCTTCATATTTCCCCTGGGAGCCCTTCACCCTTCAAAAAATAAACATAAAATAAGATGTTAAAAACACACAACAGCACCAATGACATTAATTATTCAAATGTAAACAAGGATAGTGCTTTTTTTTAGGATTATTCTGCAGGTTTACTAAATAAATCGTGGTCTTAGTTCTGTGAGAAACACCCTGTGGCATTGTGTGTACGTCATTGTGGCTCTCAGGAGGATCTACTGTGGACTTGTGTGAGTTATTGTATCTGGTGCCGAGGCGGAGAATGGACTGTCGGGATGGTGTGCTGTTCTTTTCTCTTGTGTTATTTGTCACGTTGTGCCTCAAAACGATTTGTTTGAGGGAGCCGTCGCTCTGAGGAGTTATGGCCACTAGTTGGGCATGGTTGCAGGGGGTGAAGGGGGAGAGAGTGAGGGATTGTGGGAGCTCGAGCTGAGCGTGTTCTGAGGCGTTTTTGTGTGTGTTGAAGTTTTTTTAACTGCAGGGAAGCAATGTGACACGGTTTGAAACTTGCAGTATGGATTTTGTTCAGTTATTCTGTTTGAGTCAGGGGGGGTTTCCATTCGGTGGCCTGAGCCCCTACCCCTGAAATATAATTGGTTTGCCACACCAAAATGAAGGGTGACTTATGTTCATGCCAACTTATTTTTCTATCTTGCTAAAGAGCACTTTTAGCTTTTCTTGCATTTTAATTCAGCCCATTTTTCTTTAACTGTGGCTTTGAAAGACGTCGCTTTTTGGAATCCTTAAAGGAAGAATGTGCGGTAATGGTGCTACTCTGATGTGTGTATGTGTGTGTGTGTGTATACATACGTAACTCCATCACTGCTCAAGTCAATGCTGCAATTGTGCTGCTCCAGTCACAATCAGTCTAAGTTTCTACCCCTTGTTTCTCTTCTTCAGGTCCTCGGGGTGAAGCCCTGCAGCATGGCCAGTCCGGGACACTGCCGCACTTCCTGGAAGAGCCCGTCGACGCTTACATCGTCAAGAGCAACCCCATCAAGCTGCGGTGTCAAGCTCGGCCGGCTCTCCAGATCTTCTTCAAGTGCAACGGGGAATGGGTCCACCAGAGCCAGCACATGTCTCAGGAGCACACCGACCTGGGGACAGGTACAGAAAACAATTCCTTCAGTTAAACATAGCAGCGCCCTCCAAGTGTTGAAAGTTGATGATGTGCAAAAACTGCAGTTCCTCAAGTGTCCACCAGATGCTGGCTGCCAAATCCAAAGAATCTCGATTAGGCCCCATATTAAAGTGGAAATAAACATGTTTTCAGCCTGGTATAAAACATGTTTATTCTAATCTCAAAGCCAACCTCAGCTCACCCCGTGTGCCTGTTTTTTAGTTTGATCTTTAGTAAGGTTGAGTCAGCATTTCCAACATGGCCACTGCCAAATTTTAGTTTCATAGCACCTCTTAAGAAACCAACAGGGGATGCTTTTTTTCTGCTGCTGATGAACGATGTTGGGAAAAATCTAAAACCCAGTGTCTTTTTATATACATCAATTGAATTTCAATCAAACAATTGTAGTTTTTATCATTTAGGCCTTTAAGTTTTTTCTGATCTGAAATCTTTACCCCCTTCTGCTCTGATCAAGCACACACACACACACGGAGTAAGGGGAGGAAAGGTGGCGAGAGAACAGGTGCAGCAACACGTTTCTTCATAAACTTTACAAATAAACTTGTGGCTCGCATTTTCCGACAATTCTCAAAGGTACATTTAGTCTACATGAGCGGCAATTAACTCGCAATTAAATCAAAGTTCAGCATCTCGAGCTGCCTGTGACTCACTTCACCGCGTGTGCTGCAGGTGTAGCTGCTAAAAGTAAACAATCAGAGGCATGTATGTGGCCACTGCGTCAAAAGCACATAGATTAGGTGCTACTGATTTTTAAAATCTGGAATTGGGAGTCTAGCTCAAGCTTCATGTCGGTGTGTCAGTGATGACAGCAGCGTGGCTTGTACACTTTTACATCCAGGAGACACAAGACTCTGCATGTCTGTCTGATGGTGATATCAGACCGACTTTCTTTTATGATAAGTCAAAGAATTGAGAAAAAAATGTGGTTTTGTTCTCATCAAACAACACAAAAGAGGCAGCATGCTGTGCTTCAGGTCATTTTGCTGACATTGCACGTCCTGTGATGTGACTGTTGAGCATGCGCACATTGAAAATTGCGCTGGTAAAACCATATTCTGTTCAGCACTAGTAGACAGCAGTCATGTATCTGATAGCAAGGACTGAAGTATTCAAAATGAACTTTGCAAATGTGGCTTTATGAAAAAAGCCTGCAGCCACGTTCAACCCTGCAAATACATCTGCCTCACCTCTGCATACTGCACACTGTGTCATATTTGATCTAAACTGAAATGACAACTGTTAGACCATGAAAGGCACCTACTACGACCATTCCAGGCTCCGACTTTGTACTCTGAACAGTGTCTTTTTACTGATGCAACTTGCTGAAATGCAGTTGTTGTTGTCTTAACTCCAGAATGAAGTCATTCAAACCACAAAGAAAATTTCCCTTTTTTTCCCCCTCTAAAGTCCAAGTATGTTTTTATTGCATCATCTCACTGTGGGTATTGCACATCGCAAAGGCTTCACTTGTACTTATACTCCAAATTGGCAGAAAAAAAAAAGTTGTAATAATCTGAGTTCCTGCACAATAATAAAAAAGTATCGAGCTGGATTTTTGTAATTCCAGGTTTGGGAGTGCAGAAAGATTGGAAAAGAAGAAAGCGAGGATGTAGAAAAGAAGAATATTTGTGTTATATGCTACTGTCCCTTTTCTATTTCATGGAAAAGACTATTCTGAATTTCTTAATGAAGATCTATAGATCATATAAGCTGAGTGTTTTTCTGTTTGCATTTCCTGAGACGTGACAGGCTAGAAGTATAACGTGCAACTGAATGCATACTGTCAACATCTGGTTCTGCACCCATAAGTCAAAGGATTGAATTATAAAATATATACAGTACAAAGTATTGTAAAAAACATTTATTCAAAGGATCAATCAGTGAGATGATAAAGGTATCTTACTATCTGATCATTAAGGAAACATGCTATGTTGAAGTGCTGGCTTCTCTGACAACAATGCAGCAGCAGTATGTCTCTCTTCTAACTTTAGATTCTGCTCCTGAATGCTCTGGATTTGTTTGGACCAGAGACGGTAGGCGGGTTTAAAGCACCACTTTAAAAACACGGCCGTTTTGGACGCCCCTCTGTTTGCCAGATATGAGAGCTTTTCTATTTCATGGAAAAGACTATTCTGAATTTCTTAATGAAGATCTATAGATCATACAAGCTGAGTGTTTTTCTGTTTGCATTTCCTGAGACGTGACAGGCTAGAAGTATAACGTGCAACTGAATGCATACTGTCAACATCTGGTTCTGCACCCATAAGTCAAAGGATTGAATTATAAAATATATACAGTACAAAGTATTTAAAAAACATTTATTCAAAGGATCAATCAGTGAGATGAGTAAAGGTATCTTACTATCTGATCATTAAGGAAACATGCTATGTTGAAGTGCTGGCTTCTCTGACAACAATGCAGCAGCCAGTATGTCCTCCTTCTAACTTTAGATTCTGCTCCTGAATGCTCTGGATTTGTTTGGACCAGAGACGGTAGGCGGGTTTAAAGGCACCACTTTAAAAACACGGCCGTTTTGGACGCCCCTCGTTTGCCAGATATGAGAGCAGTTATCAGGTCAAACCAACAGTGTTGCAGTGATTAATATCTCTGGAGAAAGTGAGAAAATTCTTTGTTGAAACCAAACATTGGAGAACATTTTCTATGAAGATGTGACTTTTGAGGGGTTGTGATAAAGTTGACCTGTGGTGGTTGATGGTGCCACTGAGCGAGTGTTCAGTCAGAGTGTTGTCACCTTGGTGTTAGGAGGCTTCCTTGCTCCCCCCAAAATGTACTTATTTTGTAATAGAATTAACCAATTTTGAAAATGTATACTTATCCATGAAGAAAAAAGTTCTGTTCAAATATTCCAGTCACATAGTGGATAGTGTGCCCGACGCATGTACGGAGGATGTAGTCCTCCAGACGGACAGCCCTGGTTTGAATCCGACATGTGGCATGCTCTCTTCCCTACTCTCTCTCTCTCTCCCTCTCTCTCTCTCTCTCTCCTTGGTTTCCGGCCCACTAACCCTGACCAAAGCCCAAATACAAATCTTTTAAAAAATATATTCCAGAGTTAAGGTACGATGTGTTTGTTTGTGTTCCAATCTCATATTAATGTGAGCAGCATACAGTCTTATCTACACTAATAATTAGGTCCTGTGTGTGTGCACTAGATATAAGATGACCATTATCTATTCAGATAACTCTGTGAAAGAGGTTTGAATGAAGGCACAAAGTATTTACGAGCCTGCCCGGCCCGCTATTAGTGCGACAGTGTTGATGCTTCAGTTAACACACAGCTCCAATCAATATCTCCCCCCAGAGTTAACAACGGACCTCTAAATTTTTACTGCCTCCTGGTCTGGATTCACAGCTCTGCTCCCATCTGGCTCCTTATCACCATTCATATCGGACTCCTCCGGGAGAAACGCTAGGATGGAGAAATATAGAAGAGAGAGGAGAGAGAGAGAGAGAGAGAGAGAAAGAGAGGGTAAAAGCTGAGAAAGAGCATATCTTAAAAATCCAGCTGTGCTAGTTTCTCATAAAGTCGGAAGATCTGTCGAGGTCTGGACTGTGTCAGCATGTGTCTGATGAAGCACCAGCTTCAGGAAGATGCCATAAAAAGGAGTGAAATCAGAGTATTTTATCATCTTTTTTGTAACCTTGACCTTTGTGGGGGGGAGGGAGATGCTGAAACACCTTGCGCATACATTTTAAAATACACTAAAAGATTTTTTGTAAAGTGCACGGAGAATATCTGCAAAATAGAAGAATCAGCCGCATCCATAACCGTGCATGATGTCAGCCATCATTAGCCGAATTGTTGAACTGTAAAATTTGTACTAAATTTACCTTGTGTTATTCTGAAAACCTGCTTCTTCTCCATCAACACTTCAGGTTGTTGCTATAGCGACAGTGTTCACTGCCGAGCTGAGAGAGTGGCAGGTGACTCTCGCAAAAGTTTAAAGTTGATGAAGGCAGGAAGAAGTCATGCTGTTTGTAGAGAAGGGCTGGAACAAACTGTGTGCAGCACACTCAACTCCATACTCCTCCTGTGGGACAAAGAGACAGCAATGTACCATCTGCCATGTTTCTTTCGAACAAGATAGCAATCTTTTCTAAACCATAAAGAAGTCATCTAGAGTTTTATTTTTCTTTTGGCTACACTGTTCTTAGTTTCAGAGCATTGCTTTCTGCAGCTGTTTGAATCAATGCTCCCTTCCTAGTACTGAGCTGCAAACAAAGAAGGTAAGGAGAATTGCTGGTAAACATAATGGACTCATTCTCTAGAGATGTGGGGACCAAAAACAGAGCTACAAGGACAATGAATACTGGATTCTGTGTTCTAAAATTACAAGAAAAGCGCTTAATGAGTGTTACTGTAGCTCTGTATCTACTGGAAGTGTAAATTATCTTAAAGGTGACTATCCTCCTCCTCTTCAATCAGTTTAAATAAGTCTCAGAGCTCCTCAAAACATGTGTGTGAAGTTTCTTGTTCTCAATCCAAATCAGAAACAGGATGGAGGCATTTGAAAGTGGATGCAACAGTTTAGCGATCAGTACCCATTAAAATAAACCACCAAATAACCATGTAGTAGTGGCGGCCCTCTGGCATGGCGTACCAAATATCTAGAAACTGGTGCAGCGACTTCATTTCATGCTGCTTCAAATGGAGAAAAACAAAATGTCCCTTAATGAATGCCAGCATCAGATGATTTCTAAGAACACTAGACCTGGCCATCTTTTACAGCCCACACTTGGATGTGAGCGCACACTTCAACAGCCTCCCTCTGAAAGCAGTAAAAAAAGCTTCTACTGGTAACATTATCATTGCTTTGTGTAACATTCGAGCACACGGGAAGGTTTCCTTTCAAGCATGGTGGCATCATTTTTTAGGGCCCCGAATAAAAGATTCCACTTCCCTCCTTTTCAATCTAACATTAAACGAGCGGGAGTGTAAAAATGA